AATATCGATCTGTAATCAAATAATTGTATGTTCACAATGAATTCATTTCATTTCCCTTTCATAAATAGGTTTTGACTCAACACTATCGAGAACACATGATGTATGGAGCGAATAGCATTAATTGCAAGTCATTGTCGATCGCAAGCATGACTAATAAATGAAGTCCCTAATTTGGAGTATATTTTAAAGGTGGATTAGTAGACAAGGGCATTTCTTCGTGATCAATGGAGCAACCACACCTTCCAGTGCATTCGAGTGCGAAATGAATGCTGGTTTGGCTTGCTGTGGTTGTGCATTGCATAAGGTACTTCAAAATAAAACTATAACAATAATAATGTGTGAAACAGGTGATTAAAGAAATATTGAGCAATAAAATCATTCTTGAAGTTATTTAGACCCCATTGTTTGAAATGGTAATCAAGAAAATTTGCAAATATTACTTTTTGGCACCGATCTTTTGTGCGAAGGAGTCCTTTATTCGTATTTTTTCTTCATCGCTGTATGTTATAAAGAGCCCTAACTATTTATTGTGAGAATCCGCCGATTGTGCATCAATAGACTGGGAGAATCGCGGTTGGCACTTTACTGCCCCATTTATTGAGCTGTTGACGTTGGATGGAGAGGGCGCCCTTGGGCAGGACTTATGAGAAAATTGCATTCTTTTTTCCTCTTTGTTGACCGTCAACTTCAATTATCTTGTTTGTTTCGGCAAACATTTCGATATTTTTTCAATACAACTTACTCATACTAGTTTCGGGTTAATAGACAAATAACCTGTTGCTCTTCCTTATAGATGACCAAGAAAACGCTTCATCATCTAATGTGCATAGACCTGTGCGTTATCTTCCCGAACATCGTTCTCTTTTCCGTTGGTTGAGAAAAAAGAATGATGTGCTGTTAAGAAATAATTCACCTGGAATTTCAGATCTTCCCCTCGTCTTTCTGAAAGGTTATGATAACAGTACTGCCTCAAACGGGGATTCAAATGACACTAGTGAAGATCTTGTCTCTATGGATACCTCGGTTAGATTCGCTGGCCTCACTCTGCATATTATTGAAGTTGAGGATAGGGATTTGAATATTAGTGCTTCGACAATGTCTGGTTCTTGGAAGTAAGTTTTGTGGCTGTGAGAAATTTTTTTTGCTTGATGGTTCTCTTTGACAATGAAGTATCATCATTGTTTCTTCACTTTTTCGTTGCATTCGGAATGTAGAAATTACCGTCATATTATGTCGAGTTGGCCTGAGACCTTATGTTATGGGTTAGTAAGTACCAGTTTACGGAAATTTGACTTTAGTGGAATCGCAACTAACTGCATCTGTTTTGCTTCTCTATTACATACTCTTTTTTTTGAAATAGAAACGAAATTCCTTTTATTTATGCGATAACGTTTGAACAAGTGAAGTAATAAGGTATTCAATGAGGGAATGAGTGTAATGTAATCGAGAAATCAAGAGCCTTACTTAGTTTGAGTATGGAGTTGTCCACTTTCTACTTAGGAGTGCAGGTCATTCTGTTACTTCCAATTATTCAAGGACACACTTTTCTTATTTTATGTTCACAATATTAGGAACTTGTTAGTGGGTTGGTTTAAACAAAAGCTTGTCCATGTCATTATGATTCGCCCTTTCCTTCTTGAAACCACGAATAGGCAGATGAGATCAGTGAAAAATATTTAAGCGCAATAGAAATAATGACCCTTATCAAGTCAGACTTGAGATCTTTTAAATTTTGTATAACTTGATGGAAATGTGTTCCCCAGATCCTAATCAGAAACTGGGTGTTTCAGTTCTCCGCGCATACCTCTTATTCATAATGTGCTTATTTTGCCTTTGCAGTCAGCATCGTGGAAAGTGTCCGCCAGTTGCGATTTGGACAAACTCTCATCAGTTCCAAAGTATTCTTGTCCACCCACGAATGCTTCTCGATCATTTCCCAGACACCGTCTCCTCTGCGCTCTATCGTATCTACTCTGCTTATAGTCAACGCGATTCACCCTTCTGCATGGTTGGAGCTACCGGCAATGCATTGGATGCCAAGGGCCTTATAAGACGCATTAAAAAGTCTTCGCACTAAGGATATCTACTTCCTTTTTCATTACATGCCTTCCAACATGACAGTCTCTTTATTTATACCCAACCATTAACGTTGTGGTATCCATTTAAATTCTTTCCCGTTTTGTACTATGCTATAACCTTTATGTAAACATTAATAAGGAAATTTTATTTTTTTTCTTAACTTCCATTCTCTTCTGATCTCGTTAAGGTTATTTTTTATTCTAATTTAAATGCTTGCTATGGTTTATTCATGAAAACTACCCTCTTTCGTTAAGATATTTCTATCAAAAGTAAGTTAAATCTTAATTCATTTTTAGTGACAAAATTTTCACAAAGAAGATGTTTGCAATTGGAAGGAATAGTAAGTTGAAGATTCGAATACGAATCTTTCGTCGTTAGAGTTTCAGCCTATTTCGTTAATTCGATGCATCATTTTTTTAATCTGCTGTGACTTAATTCAATGTAAACTTTTGAAGGCCAATAGTTTGTTTAGTATTGTTCGTTAAGGCATTTAACTTTATACTCTCTCGTGTTTGATAAATGGAGATATTCTGTCTGCAATTATTTGGTATGCTGAAGAAGGATTTTTTGAAAGTGGACCTTGTTTTGAATTGTTCGATAAATGTGCTTAAGTGCAAGTTGAGAAGGACGAATGCCTATGTTTATTGAAATGGGAGAAAATGGTAATAATTGTTGGGGTTAACAAGTACTGCGATATGGATTCGATATATTAAGCGCCCATTAATAATAAAGGCACTAAATGCAGAAATTAGCTCATGAAACTGCATAAAAGTTCTCACTTGGTTATCAACATTTTAATAAAGTCCTGTTATGTAGGACTCGTCGCGTATAGAGTCTTTCAAGTCATGCCTTTGGAGTCATCCTCGCAAAAACAGCGCCATATATTGACGCAATTGTGATTAGTGTGGGAGCATTTTAGCATCAAAAAGGCTTTTGCGATCCATGTTCACCTTCCTTATCATTGATTAACATCGCCAGCCCCCTCTTTCACTCATTTCGTTTGCCCGAAGTACAGATTGGTTGACATTGTTGAGCTTTGTCTTATATTCCAATTACTCACCCCCCCCCCATTCTAATGCAAACATATACCCCTAGTGTCTGGTTCCGTGTTCATTTTGCTATGAAAATTCTATTTAAATTTAGTTTTTGTTGAGCTTTCTATTTGTGCTATTTTACGCCAACGATTTAAATAAGACCTCGGGCAGTGTTTATGGCAGAGCTTGTTTATTTAGCTAAATTGATTACAGTTGTCTATGCTAATGCTAAAATGTACGATAAGAATAGTATGAAATGGAGGTGGGGTCATTAAGGCGTAAGTATTGATGCCAAGGCATCAGGAGTCTCCTCTTTTTTTTAAATCGTGGGAGCTACAAATATTCACATTCTCATAGGCAAATAGCTCAAGGGTTCATATTTTAAATACTTGGGTATCGGGTACTTGGATGAGGTTGTGTCTACTACATTCGGCATCCATGAATCTGTTGATTTAGCTTCGTGCTCTTGTGTGTGTATCTACTTAAAGGCTTGAACAGGTAGATGGGACTTGAAGTGGTTCCTAACGAAACCGAGCTCTGTAAAATAGATCTAGGGTAAACATTATTTTTAGTTTAGATGGAGGAAATGAATTATTAGCATTCCTAACGAAAAGCGAGTTAGCCAGGGAGATGCATAGGCTTAAAAACCACTCTTAATTTAAGTGCTAATTTAAGAAATGGCTTCCAAGACCTATCCATGTCATTACTTTGGACTTCCCATTCATTAAACAGTTTTTTAAATGGTTGGTAGCCGAGTGACTAAATAAGTTGATGACAAGTTGATTTTATCCTCTCCCCCCCCCCCCAAACACATTGCTTATATGCAATAAATCGAAGGAAATGACGCTTTCATAAATCATTGAGGGTAAAGCAGCTATCATGAGTAGTTCCGTTGAGAAAGCTGCTTTCTATCAGCTTTCTCCGGTTTCGACTAGAATTAATCGCATTGTTGCCCTCTAATCACCGTGCGTGCATCGAGGGGGGGGGGGACTCGTGGTGTCTTATTTCACATATTTGAACATCGAGCACTCCGTTTTTCACTCTCCCTTTGTACGAAATGCGATGTTCTCTAAAATTCCTCGTATGTGGCTAATAGTGAACCATGATTCTGTGTAAGCTGTTGTACTATGACCTTATGATCTATTTGACCTCAGTAGGGCCTTTTGATGAAATGCCTGAACTTGCAGCGTCTTCATATTCACGCATAAACACAGTGTTTGGCCACTCTGCCAATGGTGTTTTGTGCTTTTTCTACTTCTTACCCGTGTTATTTTCTACGTACTAAGCTACTTCCTCAAGTGACGCCATTCGCATTTAAAATGAGATATTTTAAAGTGAACTCAAGCAAAGTAAGATTCGTCTTTTGAGTGTCGATGAGACACACCTAGATTTCATTGTTTGCTAATTTTTATTTTTGTAAGGATCTCAATCGGATCTTGTATTTATGAGAGCAGGGTGGGTTTGAGAAGCCCACTTATCCCACCTCAAATGACTAAAATCTTACAGTGTGGTTGGTCATCATTCGCGCAGTGCACACGACTAATTTTACGCACGCTTATACAAACGCACCTTTGACAAACCAATCCACACCGCGCATTTGTCGTGCTCTAGCCTATAGGAGAGAGCCAAAGGCGCTGCCATTACACAAGCACGTGCAGATGGGGCGTTGAATTACAACATGCTTCTTCCTAGTCTCCTCCACTGTGCTGGTCAAAATAGCCTGAGAGTTTGCTCCTTTTTTAACTATTTCCACCTTTAATTATCGGATTGTCTATTTTCGACGGTTCTGATTGGCTTGCTAGTAGTGCGTATGTGCCCTCCGCAAATCAAATATATCAACCGACAATCTGATCTGACTTAGGAACTTATTGTCAGTGTCGAATGCTTTCTCCGCTAGCAAGTCACTGTGAGTTCTAACTTAGCTTCGTAATATTATTTTCAATCGAATTTATAAATTACTGGTGAACTTAATCAGGCATATTCTTGAAATGGTTGGGTTATAGTTAGGCAATGTTAATTAGTAATGTTCCGATTTAATTCATTTCTCTCATATTTATTGTGTTTTGTATTGTGGTAATAATCACCACACTTTTTGCCAAGTTATCTCGAATGCAGAGAGAAAGCTTATTTCTGAGAGTAAATAATTTCTGGGCGCATTTTCACAGGTGATTTATTTATTTACAGGTCAGAACATTCAATATTTTCCAAACATTTTGAATAATGTTAAATGCCATCATTCATCATTATATGAAGATAAGGGCCTACAGGTTAAGAAGCTAATTCTTCTACCAATTTACTGAACAAAAGTAATCAGTATAGCTAGCCGTTCTAATCTTTGGAAGCGTATTTGCTGAATTTCATGTTCGTGACACTGTCTCAGTAATTCTTAGTTTTTCCTGGGTGCTCTGTTTCTCATTTTTTCTCTAAATCTGCCTCTAAGATGGACTCAGTTTTAACTCCAAATATGATTCTCTTGATCGGTTAGTACGTCTCCGACTAAGAGGTTGGGGTTGCCTAGGAGTATTGTATTTGGTTATTTCTCTCAAATGTGGTCTAAGCTACCAGTTTAGCGATAGTTTTATATTAGGATTAGATCATTCTTTTATATAACTGCTGATGAAGAAAAGTGGTATAGATGATGTGATAATTCACTTGATCACGCCAAATGACCTTCAGTAATGGCTGTGGTAAGCTCATTTTGAAAATCTCGCTCACAAAAGTTGATTTGAAATAAATTGAAACCGTTTTTTATTGGAAAAGTGTATTACTCTTGGTGTATGGTCTATGTTAAAATTGCCGCCTAAATGGGGGTAATTTTGTAAAGCTATCTCAGCGCTATTTGGAGGAAATTCTTGACACTTCATGAAAATTACATTTTCTGGGATTTAATGAAATTAAAAAATTTTTATCTGCATAAATAACTATTTTTTTTGCTAACTATTAATTACATTCGAACCTTTAGAATCGGATTTCAATATGTCATTGTTCCCCTTCTTTGCGATTTAAGATTTAACTTGTACTCACTTTTTTTCGATATCTAGTTTTTTTTCAATTTGGGATGAAATTGTTCATTTAACCACTTTCAATGCCGATTGATAATTAATTTCCCTCGAGCCGTTGGTCACTCAATTTATGTAATTTCACTTCCTTCCTTTGGGTTCCTTGCTATAACTGATTATTCGCTTCTTATCTCCTCAAGGAGATCAAATCCCTCCTCTCCCCTATCGTACACTTTGCATGGAATAAAATGCTCCTCCACTCTATTTCAACGTCCTCTTAATTTCTGTGAGCTCATGCCATTTTTTTATTTCTACTCCTTACCTCTCATTCGGTTTCCCATTTACATATTGGCCATTCAAATCACTCGGTTTAATTCTTAAAATTAATCTACTTACTTCATAGCCTATTACTGCAACCAAATCCGGGTTTCTCTTTTAGTTTAAAGCTTAGGTAATATTTATCCCCATTGTGGTATGAAATTTGAGTCTCCAGGTACTGACTAAGATGTCCACCAATGCATTAAGCTTCTAATTGTAGTACTTGAGATGAACATGCTCTTAAACCTTTCTAGAAGGCCTAATCACCTTCTCGGATCCATCACAAGTTAGAAAAATAAAATTAATCGAATACCGCTCGATAGATAAAAAATAGAAAAGTGTTGTGTCCGAGATCTCTTACGCAGAGCTGGTAATAGATAAGAGGAGCTTCGAGGATTAACACCATGCTCCAAGCATAAGACTTGGTAAGAATTCCTATCAATTTAATGGAAGGTGTGACACTTCAGTTTAATTTCCAATAGCATCGGCAAAAGGAATTGCTTTGTTTGGGGTGTGTGTGTGTGTGTGTGTTGGATTTTATTGGCGCAAGATAAAAGGGAAATATTGACAATTATTTCTAACCATTTATAGATAATCAACAACAACCGTCGACTTTATCATCTGACGAGATTCAGTAGGTTCTTTCA